AGGACCTGGGGATTGAGATCCCAATCTCTCTCTGTTTCGCAGTCCCTGCTGAAAGCAGCCTCTGCTAACAGATCGAGCAGCTCTCCCTCTTCTCACAAGGCCAACGACCGCTCACACCTCCGACAACTAATCACTAACTCTCCCCCAACTCTCCACAACTCCACCCCCTTGGTGGGGGCTCACTGGTCTTTATACGAATTTTAGTGACCAATCAGATCCTATCCTGCAAAGAAATTTCTAGTCAGATTATGTCATGCTGCAGAAAGACTGAGCATGCGCCTGGTCAGGTTTTGTGGGCAACTGAGCATGTGCGAAGCTGAAAAGTAGGTCACGGATGACTGACAGGCCCAGGGGTCAAGCAGAGGGCATGCAGCCTAGGCTGTCTGCACATGTCAGGATTGACTCTCCTGTATTGGCAGCACACAAATCTAATAATTTTCATTGACAAAAAGGTTTTCTTTGCTTGTATAAATCTTACCAATGATATTTAGGGAGCTGTTCCCACATTCTGAATTGCATGCACTACAGCAAGCTGCCTTAGGGATCCTGAATCTAATCTCCAGAGATGGATTCAGTGATGTCAAAATCAGCAGTATAAAGTAAGTGACTATACACAGCAAAAGCAATAAAATAGTATAAAAAGAAAATAGAAAACACATTGATAAAATCACAATAAAATCTCTCATATTACAAAGGAAGTATAACAAGAAAAGCAATTTAAGTGTAAGCTTCCCATCATGGAACAAAATTAATCTAAACAAAATTAATAAGCAGACTGTTTTCCCCTCTCTTACTCCTTTTAAACAAAGTTGCAAGTTATATTACCAGCTGACTTTTTCAGCTATATTTGTTTCTAAGAAGGACTATCACAACTTACTAACTAGAACATGTTAATGGAGTAACTAAAATATTTTGCATTATATATATCTATACTATCATTATAAGACATGCACTATAAGGATGAATCTCCCATCATACTATCAAATAAAATAAGTCCTGTGCCTTCTTATATCAAGGAATGCTAGTAGTAGCTGAGACATTGTGGCCCAATGGGTAATTACACTAGACTTTCACTTTTCAGGACTGGAATTTTGAAGCCATCTTAAGGCACAAGTGAAAATATCTTTACTGGCCTTATCCTATTCCCTTTTTTTCAAACATCTATGCAATCTCTGGGTCATAGATATACTTCTGACCTGGCATGTAGACAGGTATAAATGTTAAGTGTAAAACAGTAAACAGCAACACAGCAAAAAAGCCAGAGAACGCTCCTTCTGGAGCTATTACCATATTAAGATAGATGCTCCGGGAAAAGAAAAGAAAGAGGAGAAGGGAGTCTCAGGAAGGGAGAAGAAA